TCCTTATCTGTTGTTGCTGTTAAGTGCTGTCAAGTCGACTCTGATCACAGTTACCCTGCATAGGGTTTTCGAGGAGTGACTTGTGGGTTTGAACCACCATCCTTGTGGTAAGCAGTCCATTGCTCTCATCCTGTAGTATTTGTAAAACAATGGAAATGCTGAAACAGATGTGCTTCAAATGTCCATCTCAGTAACTAATCCCTGGCAACAGTAGGCATTTTGATAAACGTGTATGTTTAGCGTTACTGACCTGACCCTCGTATAGCTACTAGGTGATGTAATGAAACATACCATTGAGTATGGGAAGTCTTAGAAATGCTCCCAATACCTGGTGCTTCTCTGTGTTACTCTTGCTTATAGCCTTGGTTCTGCTGGAACTGTAAACTTTTTCTTTGGTTGTTTACCTGGAAACTCAAAGATTAGTAATTTGTAGAAATACATTATCGTTTGAGAATAAGATGGGGAATATAGTCTCTTTAAGGATTAATGGCATATGTTCTTCTATAAATGTAGATTCTTTTAACTAGTTTAAAAATATCAGCTCCATATTGAAGTTGTTTATGTGGGAAGTAGTCCATTATTATTTCAAGCTAGACTAAAGTGAACTTTAGTTTTCAACTGTGGAAATCAAGTTGATGGAATAATTATAAATCAAGATTTTTTTTTAACCCATACATTTTTTTTTTTTTAAGTTTTATTGTGAATTATGTGGATGTTTACATGGGAGAACATTAGTTTTATGTTCATCCTATTGTATATCATTTCATTGCCATGGTTACAATCCCCTCCATGCATCATCACCCAACCAAAAGGGTATACACTACAAGCCTGTCCCCCTGGTTGTCAGCACACAGCTCCTCTCCCTCTCTGGGTCTAAGGTCCCCAGCTGCTCCATCTCTCCACATCATTGTCTCTGCCTCCATCTCAGACATCACTGCTTCTCTGGGTAGGGTCTTAACACTTTTATATTAGTTTTCAATAACTTGCAATACATTATTTTAGTAAAAAAGGTAGAGGACAGGCTTTAATTTCTGAAATAAACTATATCTAAGAACATTAACAAATAACGTGTGTGTTGCTGATGCTAGTAAGTAGATATGACATTTAATAAGTTGTGTTTATCAGTTTGTTGCTTATGTAGCAGGGAGCTTCAAAAAAGTTCTGGAATAAAATCCATTATCTTTTAATTACATATTTCCATGAACTTTCTGAAGCCCCTTTGAATTTTGAGGTAATAAAATCACATCACATTTAAAACATTCTATAATTTAGATTTCTTCCTAATTGAAACTGGTCTTTTCTGCAATAAATCCAAATGAAGAAGTCTAGGAGAAAGGGCTGGAGAGCGGGATCTCAGAAAAGACTGTTGTTAAGTGTCGTTGAGTTGATTCTGACTCATAGTGACCCTGTATAGGGCTTCCGAGGAGCGGCTGGTGAGCTTGAGCCACCGACCTTGCACTTTAACCTGCAGTGCCATATCAGGACTCCTCAGAAAAGATAAGCCACTGCAAAACTCCCGATGCGTTCTGCTTACCCATACAAGCCTTGTTTCTCTCTGTTCACCAAGGCTGTCTTGCACCCATCCGTTTTAGCTAGCCCCTTGGAAAATATTATTGTGTTTTTGTCCAGTTTTTTCTTTAATCAAAATAAGATGTCCAAAGCTCTACCCAGTGCTCCACTTCCTTTTAGTAATAATTTGGATAAAAATACAAAATAAGCAAAAAATATATATATTAGGCTGTTCTTTGGAGTATGAGTGAGTTACTTGTATGTCATTTCCATCGTTACGTAAATGTGTGCAATATTAGTGGCCCGATTATATTTAGTCTTCACCAATAAACTAAATTCATGCTGAGTAGAAGAAAAATAAATGGTTTCTTTTTATGTAGGAAATTCTCAATCATTTATACACGTACTGATAATGGGAAGCACTTACATGATGGAAAGCTACATTCAACATCTTATAGCCTAAAGTGCACTATTCCATTAAACTTTTAGAAGTAAGAACTATGATTGACTGATCTAATTTCTTGATTACTTGTAAGGAAGATGTTGAAGATCAGTGCAAGACCTAAAAGGGAGGGAAGAAGAGGACTTGATGTCCTAACTAATCAAGATTTTCTTCTTCAAAAGCAAGATGGGTTAGAAAAAATTTTGTGGCCTGGTGAAAGTATTGATGTATTTAGAAGGTCCATTACTATCTAGCAAACTGATTTACTTACGTCTTTTTCCCAGGATTTTTCACACTGCCCTGTGGCCAAGTCCATCAACAGCACTTATAGCATCGTATATTAACACACGTAGTCTTGGTGTGGCGCTGTGGGTTAATACGCTGGACTGCTAAGACAGTTTGAATCACAAGGTCGGCCATTCAAGCTTACCAGCCACTCCTTGAAAACCTTATACACGGTCACTATGAGTCAGAACTGACTTTACAGCACTTAACAACAACAAAAACATACTTAAGTACAGATTTCATGCCCTAATTGGCACTAGGCATCATCAAGTAAGTGGAGGTTTGAGTGGGATACTATACCAGCCTTATTTGGGGTGAGGTCCAGTAGTAAAAATCAGCATAAAGCTTTCAGGACAGAAGTGAGGCAAGGACTCAGGAGGCATAAAAACCAAACCAAAACAACCAGAGACAATCCTGCAGGCCACTGGAAGTATGGGTGGAAACAGCCAACCTTTTTTTTTAAAAAACAAAAACATGCAAAGTAGCAACTACTGACATTAGAGGAGGCATGTGGGGGCTATTGAGGGGACAAAATACCACAGCTGCTACTCAGTCTACCCATGAGACTCCTGGGGTGGGGGCACTTTGAGAACAAGATCTGTTCCCTTGAGAACAAAGGAGCAGATTAGGCAACTTCATCTCCTCAAATGGCCACCAAAAAAAAAAAAAAAAAAAGAGTCATATAGGTCACTTCGAAAAGTCACTAGTACTTGGTCATGACTGTGTGCCACTCACATCTAGAACATATTTCAAAAACGGTATGAATCTGTCACCAACAAGGGTGAACGAAGAGCCTCTTAATTATGGTCTGAAACAGAACGGCTACTGCTGGCTGTTCATCTCCAAACACACAAAGCCACAACTACACCCAATGGTAACTAGCAGAAAAGATTCAGCCTTCAGGTTGAGAAATTTATTAAAATACAAACGAGCAACAGTTATACATAGAAATAGTCATTTGCATTGTGGTACGAGTACAGAGAAGTTTTAAATACATTTAAAAAATCACAATATACATTGCTTAAGGCACTAAATCCAGTCTCATGGTTTCAATAAATACACAGTTGTTTAAAAAGGCAGCAGTAAGTGCCTCTGATAAAAGGACTCAGGCATTATAGTATTAAAGATAGTCTTTGCTGTGGTCATTGCTATGTACTTTATTCTCAAAATAAATTTTATTGGCTAAGATTAGTTTTTTGTTTTTTTTTAAAAAAAACAACTGACAGTATGAGAAAAAAAAATCACAGTTTTGGTTTTTCAGTTTAAGGTTCTTGCAGAAAGATGTCTGCATACAAGGTCCTAGTGTGGTGTAGAATAAGCAGTGGACTGCTAACTACAAAGTCTGCGGTTCAAACCCAGCTGCTCCTTGGAAATGCTATGCAGGATCACTATGAGTCAGAACCGACTTGACGGCACACGTAACAACAACAAAATCTTCATATAGTCCTTGGAAATAATGAGTTATGTAAAGAGTACGAAGCTTTGCCTCCCAGGGACTAAAGCCAGAGGAGATTGGAAGTCTCAGAACAGCTTGAGTCTTTGGAAAAGTTTTTTTTCCCCAAACTGCAATGAAATCAGCTGGTTTTAGAAAACCCTGGACCATTTGGTATCAAAGAAGGCTGCTTTGTAAACAGCCCTCTGTTCAATGTGCTTTGTTACTTAGCTGAGGGGAATTGGCCAGCCTCGGTGTTATGTGCTGTTCCCGAGCAGCAAACTGGGAGTCTACTCATTGAGCGCCACCATTAAAACCCATTGCTGCAGAGTCAACTCTGACTCACAGTGCCACGCTACTTATGTGCTCAGTCTGTGCTTTTGTTCCAGGGCTCAGTAGCTCACAGAGCATGTGTGTATTCATTGTAAAATGAAAGGGTTGGACTTACTGTTTCCTGCTGTCCTATCCAGCTCCAGCTCCCTGTGAGTCTCTGAAGTTGTGAAGCAGTTATTGGTTACAGCTGATCTTGCAACAGTCTGATAGGCCCAGCCTCTCCATATGACACAATGACCACAGCAAAGAGAGAAAAAGTTACCTTTCCAACACATCACCGGGATGTTTGAGCCCTGGGTGCAAATCCTTTCAGCAAAGCACTCAGCTCTACAGTAGCCATGAAGTTACATTACTTATAAAAGGCTAGTATGACTTCTCTTCTCATTAGACAATGTAGCTTCCATGGCAGAACTAGATTGCATAGATCTCTGAGATTCAATTCACATTTTCACATATTTGGTTTCTATAGTCGGTCTTACTTCAGCAAAGAGTAAGGCTGCATATAGGCACAAGATAAAACACTGGCAAAAAATCTGGACATGAACCACACCTCACATAGAGTGAGAAATCTCTTTTTGTTCTTAAATGACTAGTTGGACAGAAGAGTTTATCTGCTCATCTGATTTATTTTACTACTAGTACATATGCTCTTGGGAGAGTGAAGGTTGGCAAGATTTAAGTTTAAAAATACACTTTTTTACTTGTTGGCAAGTAAACTAGACACATGGGAGGCAAAGCTTTTAAAAATCTAGGTCCTGCCTGTTGCTAATTCCATTCTGGAATATATATCATTATCATTTCACCTGGTAAGAGTTGGGCTCCCATTTGACTTGGAAAAAAAAAATAGAATTAAATTTAGATACAGGTTTGAGCTGGTTATGAAATGGTAACTTTTAAATCAATCATTGAGAAGCATTTGGATCAAACAAAGCATCTAATCACAAAAATAGTAAAGGGAATCAAAGAGCACTTCACAAAGTGACTAGAGCTACAAGCATTTTAGTTGTTCTTTTCCAGGGATCTGTAGTAATCTGTCAGAACTTTCCATGCTTTGGGAGCCATGAAACCATCTGGGGGATTTTCTCCTTCCCGAGCGAGCTTCCTCATCCGAGTTCCTGAGATGAAGTCAAACTCATTGTGCCTGTCACAGGGAGTAATAAAGATCTCAGCATGGATAAATCACATCTACCTTAAGGATTCCTAGACTAGGCTATGAGTTCTAAAGAGGCCTTCACACGGTTTCCTGTCCACCTCCCCGCACCCCGCACATCAGCAACTACAGGTGAACAGCATCTGTGAGCATGAGAATCACCTGGAGACCTTACTACAGATTCTGATTCAGCATATCTGGGGTGGAAAGGTAAATTCTCAGCTGGGGATCAAACACAAATGAATTGGTTTGAAATCCTGGTTCTAAGGGCCACATTTTTACTTTCTGTAAAATCCTGTACCTTCTTCCAGTATGGCGATTTCACTAAATTTCCAGCTCAATAGTGGAACTTGCAGAAGAAATGAGGAATAAATAAAATCAGTTGCTGAAAAGGTATATTGTTGTTATTGTAAAGTGCCGTCGAATCAGTTCTGACTCACAGTGACCCTATATAGGGTTTCCATGAAGTGGCTGTCGAGTTTGGACAGCTGACCTTGTGGTTCAAACCAGCCTTGTGGTCCAGTTCTCTAACCCACAGCGCCACACCAGGATTAGGTTTGGTAAAGTAGAAGCCTTTGCCGCTGAGTCAATTCTGACTCTGAATAGGACGCATAGAACTGTCCCATGGGATTTCCAAGGCTCTGGTAGCGTAGTGGTTACCAATTGGGCTGCGAACCGCAACGTCAGCAGTTTGAAACTACCAGCTGTTCCGCGGGAGAAAGATGAGGCTTTCTGCTCCCGTAGATTTACAGCCTTGGAAACCCTGTACAGGGTCGCTATGAGTCGGAACCGACTCCACGGCACATAACAACAACAACAAATGTTTACGGAAGCAGATTGCCACATCGTTATCCAGTGTTGAACCACTATGCCTATGTACCACCAGAGCTCCCTCGTAAAAGAGAAGAGCTACAAAAACTAGGGAAACCTCGGTGGGATGGACGGACACGCGAGCTGCTCCAATGGACTTGAGTGTACCAACAGTCATGACGAGTGTGCAGAACGGCAACATTTAGTCTGTTATACAGGGGGGCTTCTGGACTGAGTGCTGACTCAAAGGCAGCACTAATCTATTCAAAGTTTATCATGTGGATAAGAAGCTGGGCTGCGAACTTATGTGCAGTTCAAATGTGCCAGTTGCTCCTTGGGAGAAAGATGAGTCTTTTCTGCTCTCGTAAAGATTGACAGCTTTGGAAGCCCTACACAGGGTCATTATGAGTCGGAAGTGACTCCATGGCATCTAACCACCACCACCATTCTGTTCAAGGGGAGTCTCTGGAGGCAAAGGGTGTTTTTTATTTCTCTGCCCACTCTCGTGAGCTGCACTTCATGAGTGTACCATACATACTCAGTGAAATCTCTTTCTATGTGGATTTCCTTTCACTTAGAGTTTCAGGCAGCCACTATTTACTCAAGTATATGAAGGAGCTAAACTCAAAAAGCTCAGGGAAAAAAAGTCCATTTTCTTTTCATCTATTTTTCTGTGAACTTTGTGAAGCCTCCTCGTAAACTGAACGAGAAATATTTACTGAGCATCTACTATTTGCAAGGAGTCCTGGTGTGGAGCTGTCTGATAAACACTGGACCACGAGGTCAGTTTGAACCACAACACGCTAGAACTTTAAGGAATCTTGGTGGTGCTGCAGGTCGCTGCCATCAGTGAATTTCAACTCATTGGGATTTGAGGCTTTAGATCTGCATGGGGAGTTCTCGTGTGGCACTGAAGCAGAAGCACTGGACTGTTAACTGTAAGGTCAGCAGTTCAAACACACCAGCTGCTCTGACGGAAAAAGATGTGGCTTTTTGCTTCTATAAAGTGTTGTTATTATTAAGTGCTGTCAAGTCGGTTCCAACTCATAGTGACCCTGTATAGGGTTTCTGAGGAGCAGTTAATGGGTTTGAACCGCTGACCTTGCAGTTAGCAGTTCAGGACTTAGTGTACAGCGCCACACCAGGATTTCCTGTACAATTTACAGCCTCAGATTCCGATGAGTTGAAATTGTCTTGATGGCAATGGGTAAGTATGCTAAAACTTTGATGTTGTCAAGTTAATTTAATTTCTACTCATAGCGACCTTGTATAGGGTTTCCCAGGAGCCACTGTTGAGTTTGAACATCTGAGCTTGCTATTCAAACTGATTTTGTGGTCCAGTTTTGTCCTACAGTGCCACTAGGTTTAAATTCTCGTGGGCTCCTCATTCCAATTAGGAGCATGTGGAAATGGACAAGAGAACCTAAGGTTTTCAGAGGGCCAAAATTTTTCCTCATCATTCCAGGTGTACAGGTGTTGAAGAAATAATTTTCCTTTGAATACCTACCTTGCTGGATCATAGAAGTCCATGGCTTTTTTGGCTTTGTTGTAGGCAGCCACTCGGAATGGAATGATTTCTACAGAGGTCAGGCCAGGGGCCATGCTCAAGACCTTGCCTCCATGAGTGGGCTCATACAGGTCTTTCTTGGTCTCAGGGTGGGGCATTCCTGCAGGGTCCCGACCCACAATGTAGAAGTTGGCGCCTGCAATCATCCGGGCCCTGCAGTGCCACTGGACCTAGGAAACATCATACAAGGGACATGCTGGTAATCAGTGGTCAACTCTATGGGTCCCTGCTCACTGAGATACCTTTATTCTGATATCAGAGTAATTCAGTGATGTAGGTCAACTAAAATGTGTAAGAAAGGTATAGAAGTGTGTAAAACTCTATGCTCTCTTCTTCTGACTCTGGCTTAGTCACATTGCATAGGATAGCAGAGCTAAAGATAAAAACATTCCCTTACTCTCCAAACAGATGAGCAGACTGGAAGAACTCAGACCTTGCTCTTCTGCCTTGTGAATTACACCTTCCAGTCCCACCCTATCCAGAACAAATCACAGTTTAAAGGAAATTACAAACTCTAAATCTCTTATTGCCAATAGCGAACTAATTACCTTTTATGTGCAGATATTGATTATAATTCAACACAACATTGAGAACTCAAAATGAATTGCCTTCTTTATAGCTCAGATATAAATTCAAAGATTGGAGATGGTGGGGAGGGCTAGGGGCCTTCAGGGCAGGGTGAATCACTTCAAGGAGCCAGAACTTCTGAAATTGAACTAGTCTAGATACAAGTTCCTCTATAACCCAGCTAAGCAGCACTATTCACCCCATCCACACACCAGCCTATTCACAAAGGCAACGCATAACAGGTTTGATTAGATGTTTCTAGTATTTTCATACAGAAAACTAAATGGAAGCATCAGGAAGCCCTGATAGCACAATAGTTAAGTACTGAGCTGCTAACTGAAATGTTGTTGGTTGAGACCCACCCAGTGGCTCTATAGGAGGAGGATCTGGCAATGTGCTCCCATCAAGATGGCAGCCACAAAAACCCTATGGGGCAGTTCTACTCTGTCAGGACTCAAGGGCACCCAACAACAACAACAAATGAAAACATAGTTTAGATGGATAAATAAAAGAGACTAGATGACTCTACAATCTGTAAATGACAGAGAAGACTGAATCCTAGGAATTCATTTGCTATTTTAAGTAAAGTGTGAGCCTGTACTCCCGAGTCCTGTGGCCCAACTGCTCACCTCCGTGGGGCCAGCATATAACATGGGAGATGGAAAGATGGCAACAATGGTGGACTTCGGATCCAGGACGCCTTCCTCAAGCACAGCTGCATGCTGCTTCATCCGCCAGTCCAGGGGCACATCGTCATCCTTGGTCCAGCCACCCAGAGGGTGTAGTAGGAGGACTGGGTGCTTGTAGCCCCTCTCCAGGAGCCGGCGGCGGGTGTCCTGCATCAACAAAGCATGGCCATTGTGGACAGGATTGCGCAGCTGGAATGCGAATAGTGCATCTAGGAAAAGGAAATCAGAAAGCCAAAGTAGGAAGTAGGAATGGTGTCAGTGGCCCATGAGAATGGAGGGAAAGACAAAGCTTTGATCTATTGATCAGTGCATCCATTTAACCCACTTTTTTTTTTTTTTTTTTAAGTTTTATTGTGAATTATGTGATAGTTTCCATGGGAGAACATTAGCTTTACATTCATTCTATATATGTCATTTCATTGCCAAGGTTACAATCCCTTCCATGTATCATCAACCAACCAAAGGGTATACACTACAAGCCTGCCCCCAGCTCCTCAGCACACAGCCCCTCTCCCTCTCTGGGTCTAAAGTCCCCAGCTGCTCCATCT